TGGAATGCATCACTAATTGAGCCTAGAGCTTTTTCTCTAGCTCTGTTGGCAGTTACTACAATAGTTTTAGATTCTTTCGTAATCCTGTGGTCTTTCAAAGAATTTTAAATGTGAATAATATCAATCCCAATTTGCTTATTCAAATTTTACTGCGAGCAAATAAAAGAAAAAATATTACTGCTTACAACTTGCTTAAAGCAAGAGTTAACGAAGAAGGATTTTTAATAAATATAACTGACGGATTTATTATTGGAAAATCTGCAGAAATAATATGGAAAAACTTTACGGCCGCAGAAAAAAGTACATTCACTACTTCTGCAAGTCAAATTCGATCTAGACTTGCTTTCTGCAGAATTTGTTAAAATTTAAACTTTTTATTGGCAATTTTATGGCAAAATCTACGACAAAATTTCGATAATACTATATTTACTAGATCTTTATAAATAACTATATATTGTATATAAAAATAAAATTAATTATTATCTTTTTAGAAGTATGTAGCTTAATTATTTATTATATTTAGTAAAATTTATACTTGTAAATATCTGTAATTAGTTATTATAAAATTATATTTACTTGTTGTATTAAATAAATATTTCTATTCAATAAGTTAATATTTAATATTTACAAAAATTATAGAATTTTTGTTTACTTTTTTAACTCATAAAATCTAATATTAATTATTTAGATAATAATCATATTAGCTTAAATTTTTATTATATTAGTATAGAAACTTATTAGTATATTAAAAAATAATTTAAGCTTAAACAAAATTTTAAAATTTAATTTTTTTATTTATAAATTTAATAGACAATTCATCTATCATCTGGAGAGGATCTGCAAATTTTATAAGTAAATTTTACTATTTAGTCAAATGTAAAGAGATTTCTTTTAAACTTTTTTTCTTACTAAGTAAATCACTCTTGGGCTTCTAACAAAAGTTGTAGAGCTCATAAAGGCGCATCTAATGGTGATAAGAACACTAAAATCGGCCTGGTAGTTCTTGAGAAATCTTTAAAAAACGTTTTGCCAACATATAAAATTTCTTTAAAAAAAATCGATTTTTTT